AAAAGTCCTTAGAACATCAAAGGCTCACTTGATCCTCGGAGCTGTTATAAATGAAAAACTGTCTCTGTTACAAGCAAATAAGGCACTTAATGCACTCTTTCTGGCTGTGATGCTATTTTTCCTGTGGGTTTTGAAAATGACCTTCCTGTAAGTATCAAGGACTGTAACTTTTCAGATAAAGAAACTGGTTCTTGTTTTAAGTCTATGCCAGGCTCATTCCCCTATAGCCCACAGTTTTCAAAAAGAGAAGAAAAAGTAATCCAGAATTAAAAAAATAAAAAAAACCCCTCTGTTTCCAGAGCAAGTTACCCTGTCAGCTTGCCTTGGGCCTTAGGTGGAGAAGTAGAGATTAAAGAGTCAGTATTCCTTTTCATGTTTCGTCTGCCAGTTTTGTGAATGTAGAAAGAGTACTTGTGGCTGTAGCTAAATATCCAACTGTGGTATTAAATATGGCATTTTCATTTTATTGCAGTAAATTAAAAACACTTTTATAGGTTTATTACAACAGGAATTTGGTATCAATACTATATTCAGTCATTGATAAAGGTATTACAAGGAGAAGGCTGAATAGCACAGCAGATGTAACCTCAATATTTTCACTAATTATAAAGAACCTCTTTGTGAGGCTGTGTGAATATGTAAGTTGATCTCATCATTTCCTATTTACTCAATACTTACCTGAATACGCAATATAGTGTAGCTTTTAAATGCATACGAGCATGAGTAGAATGTCCTTTTGTAAGAGACCTTGCTAAAAGACTGCTTTTGATATACAATTTCTTCATCTCCTCTTCAAACTGAATTAAGCTACTTCCTTCTTTTAAAACACAACTCACTATTTAGAAGCTTTGGCTTTGATTTCTCAGAACAGCCTCACAGGAAGAAACCATGTTCTTTTTCCTTTTGTAACCATATTTCTGAAGACAAACTTGTACTGATTTATTTTGATTTCTGAACAGAAATAGGTTCCTGCAAAGAACACTGACTGTTTCTTCTTCTCCCCCCTCCTTTGCTGCACTGCTACAAGTATATTGCTGAGCACAAAGCTACCAAGGAAAACTGAAATCCCTCTGTTGGGAACAGTGTACATAGCAATATATTCATACTTTGAGAAACAAGTGAGATTTTTAATTTAGTTTTTAGCATTACGTACTGTGCATTTCTTGCATGCTAACCACTGAATTGAAGCTGAGAAAGTAATGTCTAAGCAAATTTTATACAAGTTTAACATCTACCATTTTAGGGAATATGTCACTCATTTTAAAACATTAGCCCTCAGTAATTAACTTTGACTAAAGGTTTTATATAGATACGTGTGTATATATACATATATATGTATAATTATGTGTTTTCTTTTTCCTAGTGTGTAGAATTTTCATTCTCTTCCTCACAGTTATACTGATTGTAAAAATTGCTCCTGACAGCTATTTAGCTGAGAAGTCAGTGTTTGAAAGATTTCTCTATATTTCCATACAACTTGGCTTGGTAACAAGGTCTTTTTTCTCCTCTCTGTTATAAGTACGTAACTTCCATTAACATTTTGGAGACATGCATGTATTGGCAGGAGAAACAAAGTCTGTAAGAGAAGTCACCTTTTGTGCTGTTCTTACAAATAGGCTGATATACCCAATCCTGCACAATCGCATCCAACTTCAGTCATCTGAGAAATCCCACTGATGTGGTCCCAAGTCTTACTTTCCCACATACTTTGTCTCCAGGCTGGATATTTCATGTATGTTTTTCTAAATAGAAAACAGTTTTGCTAGCAATTTTGGTAACAAACAGAACCTTAAAACTCTGTATTTCTCAGTGTACAAAAACACAGACCTGAATTCAGTAAGGGAATTGTCTTAAATATATTCTGATTAACCTCAGAATGTGTTCCAAATGCTATTATATTTTCCTAAATTTATGCTAAACTGAAATGGGTTATCTGTTACTAGTAACAAAGCATAACTTCAAAAGCACAGCTTAAGTTGGACTAATTCTGTACTTCATTTATTCTCAAAACCAGTAACTTTATTAATGGACTCCCCATACCTGTAAACTGAAGATCCTTAAATAATACTATAAATTAGAAAACATATCAGATATTTTCATTCTTTCTCTTGCATCACATTGAGAATTTTTTTTTCCAAGTTACAGTATGATCTTTCAAACCTGGGTTGAGTCTATCCAGTATACTCTCAAAGGATGTAAGAACCAGATTCAGCAGCACAGCACAGCACAGCTGGTCTGCCAGACAATCTCTTTATAGAGAGAATTTTTATATTGAATCGTGGGACTTCCTCAAGAGCATGGTCCACAAATCTCTCATATGAAATGTGCCTTAGACAGTTACAGGGAGAAAAATTCTATGTATGTGGCAATATATCTGAGCTGGCCAAATAGAGAGGGGGAATTTGCAGGAACATGAACTTCATGGAAAGCCTATTTTCAAGATAGTATTTCAGATTTTCTTTGGGCACTCAGTAGTTCGAGAGCCTGAACTCTGTCTGTAGATTTTTTGCATGCAACACCTATACATTGAATTCTGGCTTAAAAAAGCACATTTTCCTTCAGAAATGGCTTGTAAGGTTTTAGTTTTCCCTCTTTCCATAGCTCTGAAATGAATGCTTAGTGCAGCTCATGACACAGACTTTTCCAGTGGTGCCAATGTAGCTCTTACAACCAATGTAAGAGGTACTGAAGGAGGAAATGTCCAGAATGAAATGGACTGAATGGACTAGAGGATCTGGGTCTCCATAACTATCACTGTGCAGGATTGCTGTGTCAAGTCACTGTATAGTGACTCACCTTGACTTTAAAATATTCACTATGGGCAATTATGAGGATTCATCCTTTAATACTTATATATCATGGTAAATTTGGGTATTGTTATAAATTGTTATAAAGAGGGCAGCACAAACGATAGGTACGTATGCAGGTAGAATTTACTAGTTACTGCATGTAACTGTGGGTGTGCAGCTTTCAGGAGAGGAAACAATATCACTGTAGACTTCCATGCATATGGATATTACTGTCAGCTGAAAACGAGAGCATTTTGAATGTTCTTTTTTACTGAAATGGAAAAGTCTACCATAATCAAAACTTACAGCAGTTTCATCCCTTATTTTTCATAACTAATGAATTTGGACTAATTTATGTGAGATTGTTTTATAAAGTAGCATGCAACATTGGTTTGACAGAAATGCTGGGTAGTCAGTTGTAAATATTTTATCTTTATTCTACTGTATAATGAAGTTTTGATGCCAATGAATTACTGTAGCATGATACTTAGAGTTTGGAATACAAAAATAAAAAAAAATGGGAACAGTTGCAGATCTTTTCTAGAAACAGACCTAGTTGAGTAGAGACTGCTGCAAAACAAAAGGACTCAGATCACACACATATTTGTTCATATTGCAGCTGAGTCTGACATTGAACTTTTTACATGCTCTTATTCATTCAACTGTTGACAAATCAGAGTAGGGGGGGGACTCCGAGGTAGGAAAAAATCCGCGTATGTAGGGATGCCTCTGTAAATGTCCTTTTTCTGTAGATATATGTACAGGGATCGTACAGGGATCTAGATACAGATACACAGAAATGTATAATTAGGGGTATAGACATTTGTTTAACTTGAAAGCTCCAAAGTATAATTTGTCACATTTATGGCACGAACTTTAACTGCCTTAAATACTTACTCTTTTTGAAAGTGACTTTTTTCTTTTCCCTTTGCAAAAAATAAAAAATAAAAAAATATAAATGTACTTCATGAAACCATTGTATATGAAGCACTTATTAGCCGTAATTAAATGGACAATATGAATTTACTACATCTTTAGGACTCTGGCTTGTTCTGGTTTAGAGCAAGATGATTAATGCAAATACATATTACTTGAGATAACCATTTAGCAGCTAATTTAGCCAAATTTATTACAGCAGTTAGAGGTTTTTCATTTTAGCAGACGGAGACAAGGACATGACAAAAGCAGAAGGAGTATACGAATGCACAGTGCCCTCTAGTGTACAAAGCTTCACAGGATTAGTGAGAATTGCAGACAAGAGCAAGCATTCATGTAACAATAGTACCCAGATTTTGTGTAGTTTAGATTTTCTTTAAAACTATGCAGCGTCCATCCTTTGAAACATTTGCATTTCATCCCATTTTCCTGACACTGTGGCATCAGGCACAAAGCAAATCCATTTCAATTTGGCAATATTTTGGTTGAAGTGTTACTTTAAACATCTGTATTTTTAAGCCTTCTTTCAGCAAGCATATAATAGCATCGTTTCACATTACTGATTTCTTTTACTTGTTTCTCTGTTTCTTAGCATATTTCAAACATCGGAGAGAGCTGTCACTCTTTGGCTCTAACCAAGTCATTCTGTGCTTCCCTTAGGCCTCTTTCTCAGTCTGCTGGTGGATTTACTTTGCTCGGGTAGAAGTAAATTCTCCCAAGACTTTCCCCCTACTGACCAGTGGAGATTTGGTTCATCTGAGAACTGTAAATTCTGTTTGACAAGATCAAAGAAACAGATGTATAAGTTCAGTAGTTGATATCGCCTGCAATAAGGAGAAATGATCAAAGCAGCAGGGGTAGAGTATCTTCCCAAACCTTTCAAATATCCAGAATCTCAAAGAGGTCTACCTAGGAGCTATGAATAAATCACATATAAATTTGCCTCTTTTTTTTCTTTTTCTTTCTTACAGTTTGAGTGCATTGAAAATGTCCACATAGCAATAAGTATTCTGTGAGCCAAAGAGATTTGTAGTTCTTTTCACTTTTCTTCTTTCACTAGAGTTTCCAAAACCAGATTAAAAGTAAACTTTAAAAGCTTGTAAAGCATACAAGCCATCATACTGAGCATCAGATGCCATTTGCCATCTCATTAAACCTAAACGAAGTTCAGAATCTTTTGCTCAAACATGTTGGATGTTGTACAATGCAGATCATTTTACTACAGTTCTAATATGCAATATATCTTGTTTCTATTCTACTTGTATTTTTCCCCAGTGTTAAATAAGGGTCAGTGTGTAACAAAGTATTACCGCTGGATGCAGAAGAATGGAGGTTATATCTGGATACAGTCTAGTGCAACCATAGCTGTCAATGCCAAGAATGCAAGTGAGAAGAATATCATCTGGGTCAATTACCTTCTCAGGTACATCTTCCAATCCCTTCTCTCTCTTGAACTGCTCTCTGTATTACTTAACTGTGCTTGTGAGAGTTTTGGGAAAAAACAATTGCTTGCTGTAGAGTATTAATGAAAACAACTTTTTCCTATGGTCTGCTATTTGGTTGAATATATTAAGAAATCTGTCACATCTCAGTACACTGGAATATTTTTGAATTATTATGCTGCTTTAGCATTCAAGTAAACCTTCCATCATTTTACTGCATGCCTTCACTGTCCTGAAGTCTACCCAACCTGAGCTGAAATGTAGAAAATTCACACCAACTTGCAGTAGCTGTATTATAAAATATGGCATGAAGTGCTGGGCACTGGTTTATTTGGTTACTAAAAATGCATGGAAGCAAACTTCCTAGACGACTATGAAAAAGAAAGGTGTCTCTGAAAAATATTCAGCTCTCACTCTGAAAAGCAGAATTTTCTCAGAAGAAAAATCTTGAAATAATGTGTTACTCTTATAACTATTTGATGGTATTCGCTTTTAAAACTGCAAAATAGGATTCACAAGCAAAAGTAGTTTTTAAGATTATTTGAAACCAAAACAGTGGAAGATTCTTCCCTGAAAAATTCTGTTTTACCAAGCACAAGTGTTTTCAAAGGACAGGTTTCTGAGCTCAAGGGAAGGCCAACAGCCAGTGAGAGACAGTGAATTATAAACCTGACCTTTCTCATCTGAAAATACTTTTCAACAGATTCTGCCCTGTTAGTGTTCAATAAGATTGGGAGATTTTCTGTTTCATTCCAGAGCAAACAAAACAATTAAAATTTGAAACCTTGAGATTGTTGAGAAATGCAATTGTCATTTTCTGACCTGTTCTCCTTTTAAATTGCTTGTCGTGGTTTGCTACATTCCCTTTGATGCCGTGAGAGCTCAAAGTGATCTGCAGGGGTTAGAGTGTGACTTTATGCCAACTCCAGCAAGCCCATGCCTGCCTAAACTTGCATGTTGAATTACTTTTGATATCCCTATTGAGGAAGAGAGGGAAGCAACCCCCAGCAGGAGAGCACTGAGGAAGCCCATGAGAAACTTTCCGTGGAGATGGAGTGTAATCTGACTGGTGTTAGTTGCTTCTGCCCTGCTACGATTAAGCATGGGTGTTTCCAAAGATATCCTTATCCTTCAATTTTTGTGTCTTCTTTAAAAAAAGTGGATGCTCATCATCCACAGAGTAAAGTGTTAGCTGAGCCTGCAAGAGAGAGGCAGAATGCGGCATTTCAAGAGTTCAGCTTGAGCCTGCCAATTCTGCACTGGAAGTACACCTTCAATGTCCCAATACTAACAGGGCTTCATACTGCTCAGAAATGTATTCATTTTCTATTAAAAAAAAAAATAAACAGTTGCCTCTGCCCCCTTTGCTGCTTTTCAGACAGTGGCTGAACTCAATCCTTAAATGTTCTATGAAATTATTTTCTGTAGCAACAGACTAAATCTAACAAAAAAAAAAGGAGAGAAACAGTGTGGTCTTACTCAAGACTGCTTCCAAACTTGACTTTTCTACTACATTCCCTTCACTGGTTTGCTAAAGAAAGATTAATTTCTTCAGTTAATTTCTATTTTTAATTTAGATTTATCTTAGTACTGGAATCCATGAAGGGTCCAAACCATATTTTAATGGCAGATCAAGGCATAATTAGGTCTACTCTGAGCCAGAGTAGACTGGTCTGTATACATTTCCATGCATTAGAAAGTACGATTCAGCTGTCTGCAAAGAGATAGACTAATTATAGCGTCGGGGAGGATTAATGCTGTTCTTGTTCCAGCAACTTGTTATTCGCAGTGTGAAAGCCCTCAAGCATCTTTTGCTTACAGGGGGCAAATTTGGGGACTGCCCTGGGATGCAACAGAATAAAGTCACTTTGTCAGGACAAAACCATAAAGATGGTAATTGTATGAATGGCATTTCAGTGTGAGCTGTGTGAACTCTGAATTTTCTCACTACGCTGTAATAGACTGAATATGGGCACAGTGTCATTGTGATAGTGTGTCAGTCACCCCTAGTCCTGCCTCACATTGTTCTACATAGGACTGCAGATTTTCTGCTCTATCACGGGGAAGGAATTTGAGTTGCTTAGAAATGTTCATCTATTCAAAAATGATTAAAGACTTTGTTTATTTTCAACATTCCAATGCCACTTTTGTGCAGCTGTGTTCCTCTCTCTTTGCACTGGTTTGGAAAAGGAACACATTTTGGAAAGTGCAAACCAGGAAAAAGCTTAGCATTTTCTTCAGTTTCTCTGTTAGTGTAGCTTTTTTGCATTGCAGTCGTGTTCGTTGCTAACAAGTCACAGGTGAGCACCACATGAGCAGCTGAAGATATGATTATAATGGGTGTGTTGACAGTTCTTTATCCCTAACATGTGCATCTTAACGTGCATATGTGCATCTGTCATAGAGTGGTTGCTTACAGTTTCTTGGTGATGTGGATCCATGTGTGCAGTATTTTAAATATATATATATTTAAGGATATATATATCCTTTTTAGTTATCTCCTGGCCAAGCTCTTTTGAGTAGTGGTCATTTCCTCTAGCCCTAACTGATCACCTTCTTACTAATTTTATGCATGATCTGTTTGTTGAGAAAAATCACTTGTTAAAATGGCCCTGGGAAGGTTGATATATTTTTACAGAGATAATTCTAATAGATGTTGGTGGAAGAGAAACAGGCTGGAAAAGTTACAGCACACTCCTTGTATTTCCAAGCACAGTAATGGATGGAGTTGAAATAGAAATATTCTGTTGTTCAATGATGGCACAGTATGTTAGATATCATACAAACCACTGTGTCCCACTTTGGTAAGAATACTTTCTTAGCTCTGAAACTTCACTAGAATGAAACAGTTTTTATACCTGATCAACATAATTATTTGACAGACTATTAACATACCTTCATAAAATCCCTGCTGTAAAGCTCTAAGGAAACAAAAACATATGGTTTTGTGTTTGCTCTGCTATTCTTTCTATTTATGTTCTCTGATATGTAAAGAAGAAAAAACATGCAACTACAAATCATCCAAATGTGGTTATATATGCTGTCTCTTCTTCAGTAACCCAGAGTATAAGGACACTCCCATGGATATTGCACAACTTCCTCATCTGCCAGAGAAAACCTCAGAATCCTCAGAGACCTCTGACTCTGAATCAGACTCAAAGGACAATTCAGGTAACACAAATGATGTATCCTTCTTTATAGTCACAAAAGGTCCATGACATGAGAGCCACATGGTTGCCTTTCCAACAGCTTCTCAATGTTTCTCAAGGAGTGTTTTGTTACAACAGCAAAAAATCCTGTAGAATTAAGTTGAAGAAATCCAAGACAATATTTTAATAACCTCAGCATTTTCACAGTATCTCAATTTCCTCAAAGTTTCTATTAATTCTGTGGCTACATCCTTGCCTACACTGCACTGAACAAAATATTTGGGTCTCCAGCTAAGCTTCATAAAGAGGTGTTTGCCTTATGAAAGACCATGGAATTGTAACTGTTGAATATAATTATAGCTTTTATATTTCAAAAGCAGTCAAACTTTCTGAACATAAACATCCACCATCAGTCTCCATGACCTTTTTTCTTATAGAAATGCTTTTTTTATTATTATTAGTCTCACTGGGGAACAACGAAGACTGCAAGGTTTTAGGGTCTTCTTGGGTTAAAATAATTACAATTTATTGGAAGGTATAGGTTCAAGCACTTTTTTCTAAGCTCTTAAAGTCGAGGATTCAGCTATGTTTTAAAAGCTAAATGTAGTTATCAAACTTAATATATAAATTAGTTTTACAGATGGTCCATGCACAGATGACTCACTGTGATTATAACATGCCCAGGTACAGATTAACTGGCTTTTAAAGGAAAATATTTGTCCATGGCCCAAGTTGAGGTTACTTGACTGCAGCACATACATATGATAACATTTAAAAAAGAAAAGAAGAACCAAAATTGGAAAAAAGCACTACTGTGTGTGCTTCCTTGTTTCTAAATAGCCAAAGAGCACAGATGTGAAGAAAAGTTTGCATTTCTCATGAGCACTCTAAGTTTCTCCAGGTGAGATATACACATATGGTCATAGCTCCTAAGGCTGACTCAGACCATGAGGGTATTCTTTAATGGTGCAGAGATGTGTACATCCTAGAAGATGTCTACAGGCCTTACTAGACAGCAAAAGAGAGGGTTGTTTCTTGCAAAATAATTAAACAGAAATTGCAAGGGATCTGAAATCAGAGCACTGTATTGGATGCAACCAACAAGTTCAGTTCAAGCTCTGATAAAATCCCAGACAAATTTTGTGCAGTTTTAGAATCCTTCACCATAAACCCACACTTGTCCAACTAGAAATCAGGTCTAGAAGACAACATCTTTAAAAATTATAAGTGAAACTCAGACCCAGATGGCTGCAGTTTTTGGAGTGTTGTGGCTCTTCATTTGTTTCTGTGGGTTTTGTTTTTCAAAATGAGAGGTCTCTCTGTTGTTAATGACTCAAGCAGAAGTCTCTCCAAGCAACTTACTTGAAATTAATACAAAGTGTACTGCCCTGAATCCTCAGGCAGCTTCCCCATCAGGCCTACCTACTCCAACGTTTCCAGCTCTGTTTGGTATTAACATGTCTTCAGGAGTAACCATTCTGTAAAAGAAAACTGCCCCTTCCCCTCTCAAACACAAATGTACTGAAAGGGGGAGTACTTGGCCCTGATGAGTGGAAAAAAAAGAAATCTTTTATTTCCCAACAAAAGATATCTGGCTGTTTTGTAAAAGACGGGGTCTCCTGAAGCCTTTCATGACCCTTTCAAACACAGCATGATAATGGAGAGTATTCATTCTCATGAGTCCAGTGGACTAGAGTGTTTATCTCATCCGTATTCAAATTAGGTAAAAAAAATCTAAAATACAACTGAAAGAATTCAGGCAAGAAGAGTGACAGCTTCTCAGTGCTGTAGATGGGCTGCTTTCAATGGCCCTTAGATAATTTGGATCAATCGAGAATTTAATTCGCTGCCTGAATCTTTTTTTCTGTGTTTTTTTTCCTTGCCCTTCAAGAGAATATGAAAAGCCAGGCTAGCAACGTAACAAAATTGTTTAAACTGGTTTATTCATTCAGATTTATACACATATGACCTGCTTCTCCTCTCAATACTGGAGGAGAGTGGCAGAAATTCCACAGCAGTCAGAGTAGCTGTGTCTCTTCGAAGTGGTGAAGGTGAAGGAAAATGAGATGACTAAGAATCCTCATTAGTTAATAGTGCTACATTTTGATGCCTTCCCACTTGAGGAGAACACATAAGTGAAAGAACAAGAATCAGAGCATAATGGTCATAATGGGATTGTTCACTGACTCCTCTTCCTTCAGGTGAAACAGGGCTCTCGTGCTCACAGCTGTAAAGACAGTTCTTACCAACAGAGCAGATATAAAGGGCTCCTCATCCAAGGTGCCTTAGTATATGCTCAAGAAAAATTCAGGCCAGACAGATAGCACAGGCCTTTAGTGCCTTGAAAATCCCAGGTCAGAGAGATTAATGGTGATCAAAACTCCGCCAACACCATATTGCAAATAAACATGGCTCTACAGAAGAGAATGCCTCATTGGTAGGTAGAAATCTAGATTTGGGCTGTAATATTATATTCTTATTGCTAATGATTTGTTTCACTTTCCTTTTGCTTTAGAGGACAATGAGAACTCAAAGTCAGACGAGAAAGGAAACCAGTCAGAAAACAGCGAAGACCCTGAATCTGACAGGAAAAAGTCAGGAAATCAGTCAGATAATGAAATGAACTGTAATGATGATGGGAACAGCTCCAGCAACCAGGACAGCAGGGACAGTGATGACAGCTTTGAGAATTCGGACTTCGAGAATCAAAAAGCTCCTGAGGACAGTTTTGGCACTCTTGGTTCTATGCAGATCAAGGTGGAGCGTTTTGTTGAGAGTGAGTCAGACTTGCGGTTGCAGAACTGTGAATCACTGACCTCGGACAGTGCCAAGGACTCAGACAGTGCAGGGGAAGTAAATGCCCAGTCTTCTAGCAAACATCAAAAGAGGAAGAAGAGAAGAAAAAAGCAAAAGGGAGGCAGCATGACCAGGAGAAGGCTGTCAAGCACCTCAAGCCCAAACGGACTTGACTCAGCTTTGGTAGACCAGCCCCAGCTGCTCTCGTCGCCAAACAGTGCCTCAGTGCTCAAAATTAAAACAGAAATCTCAGAACCTATCAATTTTGATAATGATAGCAGTATTTGGAATTACCCCCCCAACAGGGAAATCTCAAGGAATGAATCACCCTACAGTATGACCAAGCCCCCCAGCTCCGAGCACTTCCCTTCCCCCCAAGCCAGCAGTAGTTTACATGTCTCCATTCCAGACTCTGTTCTCACCCCACCAGGGACTGAAAATACTGCCAGCCGCAAAACTCAGTTCAGCACCTCATCCAACTCAGCCTTGGCTCCTGTGTCCTCTGACCCTTTGTCACCCCCGCTTTCAGCATCTCCAAGGGATAAACACCCAGGTGGTCCCACAACTTCCAACTCTTTGTTGTACACTGGGGATCTGGAAGCCCTTCAGAGGTTGCAAGCAGGCAATGTGGTGCTTCCTTTGGTTCACAGGGTAACAGGAACCCTTGCCGCAACAAGCACTGCTGCTCAGAGGGTCTACACCACTGGCACTATTCGGTATGCTCCAGCTGAAGTTACTTTAGCCATGCAGGGCAACCTCCTCCCCAACACCCACGCTGTTAACTTTGTTGATGTTAACAGCCCCAGCTTTGGGCTGGATCCTAAAACACCGATGGAAATGCTCTACCACCACGTTCACCGACTCAATATGTCGGGACCATTTGGAAGTGCTGTGAGTGGGGCCAGTCTGACCCAAATGCCTGCAGGGAATGTGTTCACGACTGCCGAAGGACTTTTTTCCACTCTTCCATTTCCTGTGTACAGCAATGGCATTCATACTACACAGACTCTGGAACGGAAAGAGGATTGAAATATGACCACATACTGTGTTCAGTGTTAAGCTCTGAGGCATAGACTATGTTTTAATTTAGACCTTTAATTCTAGCACTTTGAATTCGAGCAGGTCAGTTTATTCTCTCAATATGACAGTCCCCATTTCATTCCCCTTCTCTTTAACTTGACTTATTCTTTAATGTAAAGATATTTTTTTATTTTTGCCTTCAGAGAGTTGAAGTACCAGTTGCCTGCCATTTTGTCTTCTTCTAAGATGTGTGTTTTTTCCTTTGCATCTTTATTAAGATGCCTTTAATGTGTATGCCTCTGCCATAGAATACTCAGTGTTGTGGTAAAGAGATTTTAAAGTGACAACCATTGGTTTTACTTCAAAATGATCTTGATATGATCAAGATTAAAAGAGACAAGCATAAACAATGTGCCCTGTTTGACTAAGTCAAATGAAAAGGGGTTTTTGTTCCTAATTCCTTTAAAATAGGGGATAGTATTTTAGAATTTTATGCAGAGTTTAATTCTCTTTTTATGATTAAGATTTTCTTACTTGCACATAAAATAATTTGGGTTCTTAAAAAGTTAATTTCTGGCCTGTGACTAGAATGTTGAAAAGTTGGACTAAATGTTAATTACTGAAACTTTAACTTAATTTCTAAAACCATGGTGCTATCATTTATTAATCTGTAATATCTTCATACAATTTGCAGCTTGTGGGCTGGGTTTTTTGAAAAGAATGTGTTCTGTACTGGTCAATAGTCGGGTGCTGCAGTCTCCTTGGTTAGTTAAGACAAAAGCCCTCATTAACATTTGCTGCAGGATTTAAATTTTTTACCTCCAAACTAACAAGCATAGCCTCACATTAAATTTAAATGGGTCAGGAAGCCTTTTTCAAAAAGCGCTTAAAAATAAAAAACTCAATTTAATTGATGCAAGGAGCAGTTTCTTAGGTGCATATTGTTTTGCTTTGGGGTTTTTTTTTTTGTTTGTTTGTTTTTCTCAGTGTAACTGAGGCTAATTCTACATCAAATAACACTTCAGAGTAAAAAAAAAAAAAGAAAAAAAGAAAAAAACCACAAAAAAAAAAAAAACCAGAAGAACTATTTAACATGTTTTGTTTTTCATTTAATATTATAGAGGGAAGGTTGTAAATTTCTTTTTGTTCTTTGATTTGGGTATTTTTTGTTGCTTTTTCCTTATTTCTAGTGTTGAAACCAATATGTTATAAAACTAAAGAATGGGTTAATAAGCTTGAAATAGATAACTACAACTGAAAACTGCACATTAAGTAAAAGAGAAGAAATCTCCTATTTTGTCTTCATTGCCAGAAATCACAGTGTAGTGTCAAACACTGCAAATGACTGTCAAATATAAATTCTTCTTCCACTCCATCTTTGGCAGCTGTTTGTTAAGGCATCTAATAACAGATGTGAGAACTGTAATGTGTACAATGTGTAAGTGTCCTTGGCTGTCAGTCCCATTGCAGTTTCAATGTGTGTTACTATATGCAGTATATACTAAGCTAATGTAGTTGTTTTGTCCTTTGTCTTCTCTGTGCTTTATCTCTAGTCTGGAGTGGTAAAGTCCCATTCCTGCAGTCCTAGTGAACCAGTGATTCTTGGGGGTTAGTGGTTTTTGTGTGGTGGCCTTCCTCTGTAATGTCACCTTATGCTGCTTCCACTGTCTGTATACCTTTTAATTTCTGCAGTTGCTTTGCTGTTGTGTATTCTCCAAACTCTCTCTCCCCCACCCCTCCCCTCCTCTCCACGATTCCCGTCTCTTTCTCTTCCTCTCTCGTTCTCTCTTCTTCACTCTCAGAGAAAAGACTCTTAACTAGCTCAAGGTTAATGGAGCCATTTTTCCCACAGAGGAATTCTGGGTGTGACTTACTCTTCCAGTGTACCACACAATGCACTACAGAGTAATGCTCAGATTTATTAAGCAAATTGATGCCATATAGCCTCAGTTGTTAGTTAACATTCCCAGAGTCCCTTGTGCTCTAACCGTAAGCAGAGGGTGCATTTCTTTGGTTTTCTCCCAGGTAGGCTGAGGGAGCAATACATACAGCAATCACCAGTGAGATAGGAAATCCTTTCAGAGATCAACCAATGTCATTTAAAAAGGAAACAGCTTAGAACTCTCCTATATATTTGCTTATGTGTGCAATGCTAATATATTAACTCAGCTGTCCTTTGAATTTTTGATCACTCACTGTGTTGAGTCAATTCCTCCAATAGCTTTGAATTTGAGATGTCGGTTCAAGCTGCTGTGGAACAATAATGAAAGGGAATTGGATGTCACAAATTTAATTAATGAGCTTTTAAAGGTTAAATTTGAAGGATTTAAGTAGGACTAAAAAAGGCAAGAAAGCTGATTGGGAAATTCAGAGTTTAATTTTGGATGCTCTACTTTAGCTATTGAACAATCAAAGGAGTGCACCTATCAGCTACAAAGAACAGCTAGACAGCTGTTGGTTTTTTGTTTTGTTCTGTTTTGTTTTTTATAAATGTTTCTGTGTTGTGTCAAAATGATTTCTGGTGATTTAAACTAACAGATAATCACAGCTGCTGTCTAAATCCATAGTGTTTAAAATTACAAAATGAAAAAAAACTTCATTACCTGTGAAGACTGTGTCTGTGTTTTTAACTATTTCTTGTACAAATATATGAAATCTTTTATGAGGAGACTGGTGCCAAGTAGCTGAATAACGGGGAAAGGGATTCTGTTCGTATAAATCTTAGCAGTGTTACCAACTCTACAATATAAAAAAAATTAAAACCTTAAAAAGTGACAGCTATGGTACATTTATTTTGTGTTAAGCTAACCGAATCTAACTTCTCGAGTGCCTGGCTTATTTGAAACATTTTTTTCATTGATCATTGATAATGCTGCAAATCAGAAATGTACATACTTCATTTACAACAGGGTTCTTTTTATACTTTTGTAGATTCTCATACATGTCATACATGGTTGTCTTTATGTAACTTAATTTTTTTTCATCCCGCAGGTGCCATTTTCATAATAAACTTCTCTTGGATTTGTTACTATCTGGCATCATTTCTTTCACATATAACCATCCTGACTAATGAATGCTGGTAGTATTTGTTTAAGCAGGTATTTTTAAATTGTTTTGTTTAAAAAAAAAAAAAAATTATATATATATAATATATATATATATATAACTAAAAATGAAAGAGGATACAGCTAGATTTTGATAACTCTTCCAAACTGAAGAAAAGAAGCTGTCAAGATGTAGGTTAAGAATGCTAATCCAAATACTACAACAAACTTGCCACCATCCTAAATTCTCAGCTACCCCAACTCATTGTCATATTGAGCATTTTTATGCACATTATCAAAGCTAAATAATGGACCTGCAACATTAACCACTATTGACACTGTGCATTTTTTCTTGATTAATGCACACTGGAAGAGGTCAGCTTTTGTACATTAATCATTTAAAATGCACTTTATATATATTTTTTTTTTTGTACTCTACAGTGTTACAGTGAAAATCTTCAATCACATTATATCCTCTCTCTCTAAACTGCTGATTCTTTTAAATGCGTATTTTCTTTTCCCAAACAGGCAACATGGAAGTTGTTGGTGTCCTGTGGCTAGGCTTTCTACCTTAAAAACTGAAGACAGAAACATTTACCAATGTAGAAAAAAAAGACACAACAAATTCAGAACAAAACTCAGGGCTGGGCAGGTTGGGGGAAAGTTAAATATACTTTAGGTTCAACCACTGTGTGTGGATCAAAAGAGTGAGCAGCAATGCACGGGACTGGATGAACAAAGTTTTTCCAGATTCTGTATTTTATTTTGTTATTTAAGAGTTCTCAATTTCTATTTTCATTAAGAACAAAAAATTTGGGTATATAAAATCAAGTTAGTGCTGCCCATAGCCAAAACCTACTGCAACATTGGTTTGTCCAAATCTTTTCTTACTTAAACCACTTTGAAAAGCATTGGGCTTGTCGTTCTGGACCAGATTTTGGTTGCCTTAACAAAATTGATTAAAACTGCCTATAATCTGTTACACTGTTTTCTGGTTTTCACAGCATAACAAATACTCAGCACAAGTAGGAACATCTGCTCACTCCAAAAAAAATGTATAAAACAGAGATGTATGAACAACTGTAGCTCAGTGAGCCAGCCCAATAACTTAATAGCCTCAAACCCAGCTCTTTGAGTTCCCAGGAAGCTCAGAATTCCACTTTCCGGGATCTCAGCATCAAGCTTGATATGCCTCCAACTTTGCAGGGAGTGGAGAGGAGCAGGGGTTAGCAGTGCTGCTCTCAGTTTTGTTCTTGCATGCCAGCTGGCAATGCAGCTTGTTTGTGAGGTAGCTAAGGGTACAGCCGCCAACAGAGGGGAAAATGGAATTTAAAAGGAGATTGGAAGAACGATGAGAATAAAGGTTAAGGAAAGAATAACATGCCTGTTCCAAATAAGTGTTAACCAACATTAACTGAAGCTACTAATCCCAAAGGGGGCTTGAGGGGTTTTTCTGAGCTGTTACAAAGGCTTTTTAAAACTCAGCTGTGCTGACCACACATTGTATGAGAGCAGAGTTGATGGTCTACATGAATGCACTGCTTGAGGATTCCTAGTTGAACAAGAAGGTTTTCATGTTAAAGAAAGTGACAGAATGACTGTTCAGTGATTTCATTCTTCTAGTAGTGCTCTTACATTGATATAACTCCAGGGAACAGGTTTGCAGCAACTTAAAGAAACAGAATGAACTATTTGAAAGGGTTGAACCCTTTGAAAAGGTATCTTTGCGGTTGACCTAGTAGTTGGTTTGTTTGTTTTTAATAATATTTGGAGAAATAACATGCTGGAAGTTGGATGAACTGAGTCCAAAAGAACCAAAAGAACACCAAAAGAACATTTTCAAAAGCAACTGATCACACTAACTGCTATTTATGAACCACTTGCTTTGCAAAGCGAGATGCCCAAGTACCTAGAAGCTACCTTAACTGTTGCAAGGAAGAAAAAAAAAAAAAAAAAGGGCTCCTTAGAAGCACTCTGACTCTAAAAAGTCAGCGATGGAAGTTTTGTCAGCCTTACTGAGATAGCCAGTTCTGACAGCCTGCACTGGCACTGCTGCAAGGTGGTCATGTCACTGGAGTAACTGCAATACTCCTGAAAAAAACATTTTTTTGTTATGATGCTCAAAACTGCATTAGCTTAAATGTGTCTACGCATCTGAGCTATTTGCATAGTATTTTTCCTTCTTGCCATTTTTATTTCTTTATTTTTTATTTTAGGGCTGGGGGAGGTGGGTGGAAAGGCTGTATGTGCACTGTCAGCTAACTTAATGAACTGTCCAGCAAGCTCACTATGGAGCCTACAGAAGTGTGAACAAATGGAACGTAACCAGAGCCACAGGTTCTCAGGTAAGATCAAACCATTTATAAAACATGCACGTGCATGCACACAGAGACACGATCCACTAACTCTGAAAGCCAGCTGGGCTTTCAAACTGGACACAGTAATACATATGCATAAGAAAGATCCTTTCTTCTTCTCTCACATCATCTGTTTATCAGAAAAGGTGACCAGTGGAAGCTGTTAACCTCCCTCTCAGCCCAAGTAGCATTTACAAAGTGTATGGCCAGCTATATTTACTGACTTAAATAAGACCCCACTGATTCCTTTGTCAGCTTTGAAATAATCAAATTGCTCTCAAGACCCATTTTTCATGATCCATCTTCATTCCCATACAACTCTTTGCTTCACTAGATCCATTGAGATCTTCCTGGAAGCAACAAAATGTGAGATAAGAACAGATTGCAGAGTTCTGCTTTTAAATGAACAAAATTAGGATTGGTATTCTCCACCACAGTTTTGTTTGGACTACTAAATTTAACAGGGAGAGAGTGGAAGTAAAAAAATTAATGACCCAGTCACACAATGGCAAAGTCACACAAATGAAGTCAATAATCGTGAGTTTGATTACACTGATAGGAAGTTAAAATCTTTTCCATCTTGAGGAGATTGTGCAACCTAGATGAAATGCTAAAAATAAGGGATTTTTTAATAGACATCAGTGCCCAGCAAAGGCTTACGGGAAATCAGTGGGAGA